CTGTAGCCAGAGGGACTCAGGGTCAGGCTGTGCCTTGGAGGTATATGAGGAGGCCCTTGGTGTTGAGAATTTTAATGTGCCTCGGGTATATTTCTGAGACACATGAACAACTATGTACTAGAGAGACGCAAACACTCTCTGAATCAGTTTGCAAACTCTTATTTTTAAAAGTAAGACCAATTGTTCCAGATTGTACTCGTTGCAGTCATGCCCTAACTTTGGTTTTAAAATTACTGTAATCTGTAAATTGTGGAAACTACTCCAGTACCTCAGCAAAGATGTTCTCTTACATCTTTTATGTTCATATTTAACACTGGGGAAACTCTTCTGTGTGGACTACTTTGCAAACTTTATTGCAGCATTTTCAAATCACCAGCTTGACCGCTGAAATCTCTTAATCTGTGGTTACTTTTATCTCCCCTTTGCAAAGACCTAGAGTTCTGATGTAGTTTAGCCCAGAGATGAAAAAAAAGAGGAGCCAGCATTTCCACCTCTTTCTGATTTGAATTTCTTTTGACTTTATTTAATTAAAATCAGTGAGAGGGACCGTGTTTTTCATGTTCGCCATGGTCCCAGGGAGTCAGCAGCCACCTCTCCCTTCCACGTTGAACGTTACGTGCTTTCTTCCTCGGATGCAGCACTGAAATGGAGGCCACAGCTCTGTTTCACCTGCATTCGCTCCAAGCCTGCGAGCTTCAAAGGGGTTGAAGAACTCAGTGCGCTTTCCGCAGAAAAATTCCCTGCAGCCGTTCCTTGCCTGGCTTGGGGCCAGGCTGGCATCGCTCTGTCCCACCCAGCCCTCCCACTCCAGACGAGCGTGCACCGCACCCTGGCTGTGACCCGCGTGGGGTGCACCCTGGTCCATCCCGGGGTGCTGCTGTTTATTACCCTCCCCACCCAGGGAAAAGGGCCCCTTGCGCTTCAGCCTGCCCTCCCCTCCTTGACCTTGCTTCCGTGCCATTTCTTGAGGCAATAAATTGTATTGTACCACTGTCTACCATTACTCTGTTGAATACGCACATCTCTCTGGCTATATATATGGTATCTCATTTGTATATATTTATATACTCTGTATGTGTGTGTGGGTATACGTGCACACACACCTCACGCTGTGCATTTCTGTCAGGGCGCTTCAGTTCTGCTGTTCTTTAGCTCTCCTGCTCGTGAGCAAAAGCAACCCCTGCAGCAGGGCTCTCGAGGGCGAGGGCACGTACATCAGCGCAAGCTGTGCTGGGGCTGAACGCAGTCGAAAGCCCTGGCTTAAATACTGCCCTGCTAATTGTAGCTTGCTTTTTCTGGGGCGCGGGAGGGCAGGCTAGCTGCTGTGGGTGTGCTGTAAAGGAGAGAAGAGAGCTCCCAGAGGGTATCGGAAAGTCAGAAGACAGCAGAGAAGAAAACAAGATGGTAGAGCGCTAGGAAAGCAGTTGAGGCAAGGCACGGAGCTGCTGGGGAGGCGCTGAGTGGGCCGGTGAAGTGCTCAGCAGGCTGAGCTCAGAGTCCCCAGCTGCGTCTCGCCACAAAAGATCCCAAGCCCGGCACGGTCTTGGCGCGCTGCACCGGCACTAACTTTTGGCATCCCTGAGCTCAAGCCGCCGCTGACTCCAAACAGTGTCTACCTTTGTGTGTGTGCCTGATAACTAGAGCAGGGTTCTGTGGAGGATCAAAAGAGAAGTTAAATTGGAAGATTTAAAATATATGTGTGTACAACACGTACGTACATATATATGCACACATGGACACTTTTGGTGCGTTCTTTACTCTGCTTAGGCGCGCGTGCTTTGTTACTTGAGTCCAGTGAGCAGAGGACAGGCTTGTTCTTTTCCCAGGTGCTTGCTCTGCGTTCCTAGTAAATCTTGCTCTGGTCTTTCTCGTAGCAGAGGGGTGAGTGCCATGCTGGACACCTCGAGCTCCTCAAGCTGTGAAGACCCTTCTGACCTTCTCATTTGTCCTCCACAGACCCCATTTTAGTGAGACATCTGGCAGGTTTGGGGGATAAATGGTTCTCGCATGTGCCAAGTCACAACTGTTCACCCGGCTCCGACATTCACCCCGCGGGGAAGCCCGGCCAGCTCGGCAGCGTGCCAACCACGGGCTCTCTTCTCCGTGCTACCAGAGAATTGGGAGACAGTTTTCTGCCCTGGCCCTTTTGGAAAGGTCTCTTGCGAGTTTTTTAGGAGAGGCTCGGGTTTGGTCGGACCATCCTTCCCCTTTCCCAAGGAGTAGTGTTGTCTTTTAGCTGTGCTCCTGCCCGTGGGACTTTCCCAGCCCGGCGCTGGCCGGCGGCGAGCCCAGAGCCACGTGCCAAGGCTGGAGGAGCGGTGGATGCCCAGACAGGGATGCCGGGCCGTGTCCCTCTGCTGTGTTTGTTTCAGTTTGCACTTTTACGAGTCAATTGAGCTGGAGTCTGTTGAGAAATACATATGAGGCGCTTCGGAGGGTTGTGGGTAGCTGTTTACAGCCCAAAAAAAAAAAAAAAAAAAAAAAAAACCTGATAGATCTAGTGGTTATAGTAAACATCACCCCGCCAGGGAACGATGGCAGCAGATAACCCTGGTTCCTGTTGCACAAGGAGGTTCAGCCGGCCGGGGCCGTGGCACTGCCCGCAGCATCCCTGCCCTGCCGTTGTTGGGCAAGGAGAGGCCTTTGTCAGCTAGAGAGGGACGTAGTAAATCAGATTTGCCGGCAAACAAGCACCTTAACCACCGAGCTGCAGGGTCTCGATACTTGCACTTCACCTGAAGGCTCCCCCGGGGCGGGGGGGAAGGCAGGTTGGTACGTGACCGTCGGCTTTGCACCCGTCCGGCGTCCTCGGAACATCCTAAAGCCATGTCCTAGGGAAGACAAAAATAAAATCGGTTCCCTCTCTTCTTGCTTTCTCTGAGTGCACACACTGAGTCCAGGAACCAGTAAGAGGGGGGCCGAGCGTTGTCCCCACGGATGTGAACAAACCCAGGGGGACCTCACCCGCCCCCCGCCTCGCCCCTCCGGTCCCCTGCCCCGCTCCCCACCCTTGAGTACGGGTACCTCAGAACATGCACAGTTTGAATTTTCACTGACAATTAGTTTAATTATTGTGAGTGAAAAGAATTGTAATTATCTGTAAATATGTAGTTAACAAATTGACCTAGTTTCTGTATTTTTTAAGTTTTTGTACTAAAATTTATAGATACGGTATGTGCCAGCTAGCAAAAAGCTACTGTAATTGCCAGTCGTAGTTCAGCATGCATCTAATCCCGAGACTTGTCCAAGTGATGCTGTAAGGAATTGTACTTCAATATTGCGAGCTGGGGAGGTGCAGTGGCTGGGGGGCCGGGGGGGGGGGGCCAACAGCCGCTTGCCTCGGGCCTTCAGCTGCCAGCCTTCAGCCGGGTTTTCTGCGTTTGCTGGTTTTTTCCGTGTTCGCTGTGTGGCATCTTCTTCCCTTCGGCGTTGTGTGCTGTGTGGCAGGCAGGGTGAGGGGACGGAGCGGTGGCTTCGAGCTTTCTCTGGGGCTAAACTCCACGGGGAACCGAGCTCAGGTTCTTTGCTGCAGTTTAATACCGACTTATGACTCTGTTTTCCAGCCTCTCTAGAAATGATCTGTTCTCCCCATTCTGACTGCTTTTGTCTTAAAACCGAGATCATCTAAACCTACTGGAGGAAAAAAAAAAAAACAAACAAAAAAAAAAAAAGACAAAAAAAAAAAAAAAAAAAGACTTTCACTTAAGATTGTTGCCTGCTTTTAGTGCCAGGATCACGCATTTCTATGGCAACTCTGAGCTCAGCAGAGTTTAGAAATCAGCCCAGGGTTGTTAACGAGCTGAAGTACCTCGCCGCCGCTTTCGCGCGGCTCTGGCCGAGCCCAACTGCAGCGGGTGGCAGCTGCCAAGGGCGACCTTGTGGGTGCGATGCAGGGAGGGGGGGGTTCTGTGTGTGTCTGTGTGTGTGTGTGTGTCCGGGTGCCCCTGCCCCGGCTGCAGCTGGCTGGCACCCCAAAACCTGCCAGCGAGCGAGGGGTGGGCTCCCCCCTCCTCGACGCTCCCTAGGGATGAAGGCGAGACCTGTGCTCCCCGGCTCGTGGCAGAGGCACGGCGGCGGGTGGCGAGTGGCTTTGCTGAGCGTCCCGGGATGCTGCGGGCGGGAGGTGGAGCGCCGGTGAGGCCGTGCTCGCCAGGTCTGCTTGTCCTGGGGGGGGGGGGGGGGGGGGGGTGTCTTAGGGGACGGGAGCTCGTAAGGATTGAAGGATCAGAGGAGAAGAGGCATACGTGTGCGTGCGTACGGGTTTGGCTTCTGGCAAGCAAACCACCCGCTTCCTTTCTTCGGCTTTTCTTCCCTCCTAACCCCCCACAGCTCTTCCCCCTGCTTGCTTGGAACAGGAACATTTTTTACCTGCCTAGAAACAGCTAAAAGATTGGGGGGGGGGGGGGGGGGGGGGAAGGAGGGGAGGGGGGTGCGTGGGGAGCAGCCCTGATGTAAATAATTAACGTTGCAAAGTGAAGTGTGTATAACATAAAAGGCTACAGCCCTTTGGTGACTTGTAAATGCTTGAGAAGGTGGTGGGAAGACGTGGAGGGTCGAGCGACCTGCCCGGGGCTCCGCAGCCATCGCTGCCCCACTGACACCAGTGGGTCGGGAAGGGGGGGGGCCCACCCCGCGTACCTTAGCTGTGGGACCCCCCTTGGTTTAGTGGATGGGAGGGTAGCGTAACGTGTGTAATACGGATAGGAGAAGCTGTGTGAGGTGTGTATAGTGTATATTTTTTAAAAATAGCTTGCTTGTATTGTGAAGATTTTAAAGACAAACTTGAGAATTCTAGCCTAACTATTAACACAAGTTTAACATCAGTTACCCCACTGGGTTCAGAGCCTCTTGAATGTATATTCCTTTTTGTAACCTAAATGACCTATTCTTCTACCAGTCAGCCAGACATCCTATTTATATTTTTAATTTTATATATTACTTTCCATTTGTTTTCATTATTTCCAGCATGTTTCTGGTTTTGGTTTTTGTTTGTTTGGGGGTTTTGTTTTGTTTCTTTTTGCACAAGCATTGTGTGAAGTCAAGGAAATGTTAACTCAAACCTGGTATTTTCCAACCTGGTCCCCCCTCCTCTTCCTCTCCTCCACCCCTGTTTTTTTTTATTTTTCTTCCACCAACAGTTTGGGATTTTCTGGGCTGGGATGCAGCGGGTGGGAGGAGGGGATGGCTATTTTCCATTTGCAGCTTCTGTGCAAATGCCAGGCCTTTTGCCAGTCAACTAAAAACGCTTCACTTACTGGATGCTTTAAAAAAAAAAAAATTAAAAAAAAAAAAAAAAACAAAAAACAAAACACAACAAAAATGTAACCTTATCAGTCCGACATAGACCATGGCAGGAGGAGGGGAAGTGCACACCTGTAGCCACACAACTCTAGCTTTGGCTGCAAAACAAAAGCAAACCTTTCCTGGCGAGCAGGTAACTGCGAGGCAGCTCCCGGCGGAGGTTTGGCCGCCGTGCTGGGGGGAGCGACGTGCCGGGGGGCTCGCTCTTCCCCCCCTCAGCGCCTGCCTCTTCACGTGCACAGCCTGGGGAGCTGCCGACAGCAAAGCTGTTGCTGCTTTTCCTCTCCTCCTCCTCCTCCTCCTCTTCCTCCTCTCCCCCTCTGTAAGGAGGTCCAGCTCACCACCAAGAGCTCGCCCAGCGCCCGGCCCCAGCGCCGTGGCCGTCTGCTCTGGGGCAGCACCCACCTCTGGCAAAGCCCGGCCGCGCAGTTTTGTGCCGCGGAGCATTAGGTAGAAAAAACACACACATATCTGCTGTTTTACTATGAACACTGGTCTGAGGTTTCCAGGCCCAGCGCCACGGTGATGGGCCGCGAAGGATTCAACTAGGGGAATTAAACTCCTTCCTGCTTCCATGTCTGGTAGCACCAGCTGGTATGAGTGAATCTACAGGTGTGCGTTTTCCTTCTTGTAGAAAATGCCACGAGCACTAACTGGTAAGGCTTAATGTACAGTATATTGTCAGTATTCTGGTATTCTTCTGGTTCAACATACATTATAGCTCATATATAACCTGTATTAATTGTATAGATTGTGCATTTAAAGCTGTTACCAAGTTGTCAGAAAATAAGAGAAGAGAAAAAAATAAGGTCATATGTAATATTTTGTTTGTAAGTATCCTTTGTATCATAGCAAAGGAAATGTTAAAAAAGAAAAAAAAAAAAAAATCAACTGTAATAAAGTAATTTTAGTACATGGAGTGTCTGCCTGCCTTTCTAAGACACCTGTCCCCCAGGCATGTGGGGGTCTACCGCGTGTAGGACCGCTGCCAGGTGAAGACGGGGGGCTCGCCGGCGGGACCCCCCCGCCTGCGGGGCCGCGGCAGCCCCTTCCTCCGCTCCTCAGCCCTCAGGAACTCGGCCATGGCCTTGAAGTACTCCAGCACGGCCTCGTGTCCCCAGCAGCGCCCCGGGCCCCGCCGGGGGAAGCCGCAGTGGCCCACCCGGGGGGTCAGCAGCAGGAAGAAGTAGGGGCTGCTGCGGAAAAGCTCCAGGGGCAGGCTGCGGGCCGGGGGGCCGCGGACGGGGTCGTCGGCGCTGCAGAGGCAGAGCACGGGCACGGCCGCCTCGTCGGCGTCGCGCAGGGGCTCGTTGCGGTCCCAGTAGGTCTCCCAGGTGGTGGGGCGGCTCTTGGTCCGGCAGAAGATGGATTCCTCCAGCTCCCGCAGCGAGCGGCTGCCCAGCAGCCCGGGCACGTCCACCGCCTCGGCCAGGGACCCCGCGTACCTGCGGGGAGGGAGGGGGGGCCGCTGTGGGCTGGGGGGGGGGCCGCGCGCCTCAATTTCCAACCCCTGGTTTGGAGGGGGGGGTGGGGGGTGTTCCATCCCAGCCCCTTTGCTGGGATGCTGAGGAGGGGCGGGGGGGGGGGGGGGGGGGGGGGGATGTCTGTCTATGTCCCTGTGCCAGCCCGGGTACCATGGCAACGGGAGGCAGCCAGCGCTCCGCTCCGTTGCCATGACAGCAGCGCTTGCAATGGGTATCGGGAAAATGGGGGGGGGGAGGAGGGGGGAACCACCCTCCTGCCAACCCCCCCTGCACCTGGCCAACAGAAACCTACCCCCCCCGCCCCCCCCCGAGCACCCCATCCCTGCAGCAAACCCCCTACCTGGCTGCACCCCCCCTGGGCTTTAAGACTCAACCTGGTACCTGTTGGCCCCAACGTTTTGGAGTTCAGCTGCGTTTTTTTGGCCTTTATTTGCCCACCAGCAAGGCCCCTTTGTGGCCTAACCCCCCCCCCCCCCCCCCCAAGTTCTCAGCACCCCCCGGGGAGGTGCCGCTTGCTCAAGGCCTTGGCACGGGGTGGTTTGTCTCCTGTCCCAGCCCACACCAGCACTTGGCCCTCCCCGATGTGGCCATGTTGGGTAAGGGGGACCCAGAGCTTTTATTGGGGGGGGGGAAGGTGCCACAGCCCCCTAGTCCAGCCATGGGTTGGTGGTTGTGGCCCCCCCACCCCAGGGGGCAGACCCCTGGGGGCGGGTGCTGGGGACAAGCGGCAGTGCGGGGGGGGTGGCCGGTCCCGTTCAGCCCCCGGAGGGGCTTTGCCAACCCAACCCAGTGCCACCGCCGCGCCGAGGTGACACATCTCCGGGCCCGGGGGGGGGGGGGGTTCCCCCGAGATGCTGCCACAGCCCCAGCCGGGCCAGGGAGCACGTGGCGGCCAAGCTGGCCCCGCGGCAGCCGGCTCCAGGCTGCTGTTCATTAACCAGCGCCTTTTGCTGCTCTCAGCACCTCTGTCCCCGTGCCGGCAGCAGCACCCATTGCACCCCCCCCCCACCCAGGGATGGCCGAGGGGCTCCTGGGGCGCCCCTTCCCCAAATCCTCCCCCCCCAGGCGCCCCACTGACCTGCTGAGTCCCCGCTTGAGGTGCAGGAGCAGCGGCCACTCGTAGAGCCAGGGCATCCCAGCTTCAAACCAGTCCCGGCCGCGGAAGACGGGGGAGATGCAGGCGGCGGCGGCCAGGCGGCTGGAGGAGCCGCTCTCGCCCAGGTAGGCAAGCAGCAGCCCCGAGCCCGAGCCCTCGCTGACAGCCAGCAGCGGGGCACTGGGGTGCCGGCAGCGCAGGTAGGTCACCGCCTCCCGCAAGTCCCCGGGGTCCCCGAAGGGCTGGAGCCGGGGGGTGGTGAGGGGGCAGCCGTTATGGCCCCGGCGGTTGAAGATGACGGGGGTGAAGCCCCGCTCCAGCGCCCGCAGCCCCAGCTGCAGCAGCCCCCCCGTCACCTTCCCGGCGGCGTTGGGGATGAGCAGCAGCACCAGGCTGGGACCCCCACTGCCCCCCTCCGCAACCCCCCAGGGTCCCAGCAGCCAGTCCAGGGCCACCAGCCCAGCGTCGGGCAACTGCAGGAGCTCCCGGGCCACCAGCGGCTCCGGCTCGGGCGGCTGCAGGAGCTGCTGCAGCAGTTGGAGCCGGGGCCAGCGTGGCCACGGCCACTGGCCCCCCCGCAGCGCCGCCGACCGCCCCAAGCACCGCACCAGGTGCTGGGCCAGCGCCGAGGGCTTGCACAGCAGCCGGCAGCACCCCGAGCCGTCCTCGGCGATGAAGGGGATCCCCTCCTCTTCCTTCTCCTCCTCTCCCCCGGCTCCAGGCACCTCCAGCCTCCCCCTCCAAAGGCGCCAAGCCAGGAGGGCCAGGCCGACGAGCAGGGCGGCCGCGGTCACCAAACCCTCGGGGGACACCATGGTGGCGAGGGGAGCCCCGGCAGGCAGCGGGGGTGCTCGGCGGGTTCGGCGGGGCCGTGCTGGGAAAGCCCTGCCCCGGGGCTGGGCGAGCGGTGGGGCCAGACCGGGGACGGCGTGACCGGCCGCCAGCCGGGGCCAAGGGGACTGGGTGAAACGGGAGGGACACGTGGCCGAGCCCTGGCTGGCGCAGGGGCGGGCGACTCGGCTGCAGTGCCCCCCCCCCCCCACCTCCCAAACCGGGGGGGGGGGACGGGACCCCCCCATCACCGCAGGAGCTGGGGGGCTGGGGGCCCGTGCAATGCTCACACCTTTATTGATACAAATGTACAAGGACACATCTTACAGGAGGCAGCGCGGCCCCGGGGTGGGGGGGGGTGGGGGGGGGGGGCAGGACGCCCGGGGTGGGGTGGGGGGGTCCCCGCGGGCGCCCCAGTCCAGTGTAACGCTGCGGGCGGCCCTGGGGGGTACCGGCCGCCCTGCAAGGGACTTTGCGGGGGGGGGGGGCTGTTTGGGAGGGTGGGGGGTACATTGCCACCGCCGCCACGGACAGCTACACAGGCTATGTACAGGATAAGTTAGGCGCGTGCCGCGGGGGGGCAGGGGTCTGTACAGGGGGACGCAGGCATCGGCCCCGCAGGCTGAGCACCAGCTCCTCGGCGGCGGGGCTGGGGGCTCACCCCCCCCACCCCGTTTCCCCATGGGCTAAAGGCCACGTGTAGCCGCGCTCGCCCCAAGTGCCGGCTGCTGCCGGAGGGGAGAGACGGAGAGCGCGGGGGGGCCCGGGGGGTGGGAGGTGGAGAGGAAAGGAGGGGGGGGGGTGGGGCGGGGGGGAGACATGGGGACACGCGGGCCGGCGCTCACTGCTTCTTCTCGCGGGTGGTGATGGTGACCAGCTGCTTGGCGGCCTTGGCGATGTCGTAGGCACACTGGATGACCTGCTGGGTCAGGAGCTGGTAGTCCACGGCGGCGCCCGGCTCGGGCGGCACGGTCTTGCGGCACTCGCTCTGCAGCCGGTACGCGCTGGCGTTGAGCAGCCGCAGGGAGCTCCGCACCGTCTCCAGCGCCGGCTTCTGCAACGGGGGGGGGAGAGGAACAGCGGCAGGGCTCACGGCGGCGGATGGGAGGAGTTGATGGGGACCCCCCCCCCCCCTCACCCCTCGGGACCCCCCTCAGCCCTCCTACCTTGGGGAAGAGCGATGCCATCTCTGTCACGGCCGAGTGGATCTTCTCCGAGCAAGGCACGAAGCTGGGGGCGGAGGAGAGGGGGGTGAGTGCTGGCTCCCGCCCATGGAAGCGGCAAGCGTGGCCCCATGGGAACAGGGGCCCCAGAGGGACCCCCCCCAAGCCGTGCCCCAGCCCCACCTGTCATGCTTGGACTCCTGCGCCGCCCGCAACAGCTCCTGGATGTTCTTGGTGACCTGCTCGGTTTTGAGGATGACATCCTCTGTGCTGGGCAACCCGGGGTCCAGCTCCCCGTCCAGCGGGTCCAGCTCGTGGGGGAAATCCTCGTCCTTGCTCAGCTCCACGAAACGCTTCCCCTCCATGCTGCGGGGACCCACCGACACCCCCCCACCACGGGGGTCAGTGCCAGCCCCGTGTCCCCAGCGCAAGTCCCCAGCCCCGGCACTCACCTGATCAGGACCTCACCCGCCTGTGTGTTGTCGTAGTCGCTGTCAGTGCCGCTGCCGTGCCGGTCTAGCTTGCTCTGGAGGGGAAAAGAGCAGCGTCAGGTCCTGCCCAGCCCCGGCTCCGTGAAAGGTTGGGGTCCCCCCACCCCCAGGAGCTGCCCCCCGCCCCGCCCCCCCCCATCCCCGGTACATCACCATGTGCCGGGCACCGTCGGGTGGGCAGGAGAGCAGCGGGGAGGATGGGGGAAAGGGCACTGAGGAGGCAGACGGACCTTTCCGGATCTGGAGGGGGAAGAGAGGGGAAGCCGGCGCTGAACGGGGTGCAGAAGGGTCCGGTGCTGATCCCGGTGACGTGCAGGGGAGGACGAGCACAGGGGACACCGCCGCCCTGCATGCAGGAACGTCCCGCAGCCACCATCCCCTGGGGAGGTCGCCGGCCTCTCCCGGGGGGTGCAGGGTGGCGGGGGGACGGGACGTCCCAGGACAGCACGGAGGCCGCGTCCCAGGAGGGTGACAGCCACCACGTCCCATGCAGGAGCCGCCCCCGCCGCGGCCCCCTTACCCGGTACACGCTGGCCGGGATGTGCATGGAGTACAGAGCCTCGTCCTCCACCTCCTGGCGACACACGAAAGGTTACGGCCCCGCAGGGAGGGGGGCCCGGCACCCTGGGGGGCCGGGGGGGACCGCTGCACCCCAAAAACCACCCACCCGCCCTCCCCAGCCCACTCACGCCGGCGCCGAAGGGCTGCAGCCGCGTCACCAGCTCCTCCACCGGCTGCCCAAAAGGTTTCAGCGCCGAGCCCGGCTCGTACATGGAGAAGGCCTGGCGGTCCCGGCGGTGCGGGGGGGCCGTGCCCGGGGGGTGCCCGTGCTCTGGCCGCTCACTGGGGGCCGGGGTTGGGTGCGTGGGACCCGTCTGCTGCCGGATCTGCGTGTTCTCTGCCTGCAGCTTGTGGATCTGCAGCCAGGGCGGGGAGGGGAGGCATCAGCAAAGAGGGTGGGGGGGGGGCTACGCCAAGGGTGGGGGGTCCCCGCTGGCCCTGCACCCACCTCGCGCTGCAGCCGGCGCAGCTCATCACTCAGGCTGTTGTTCACCTTCATCAGCTGCTGCACCTTGGCCTCGGAGGCAGCCAGAGCCTTCTTCACCTCCAGGTACTCCTGCAGCGTGATGGGGCCGTCCGAGAGGTCGGAGGAGTCCATGCTCTGTGGGGAGAGGGGCTCAGCGCCGGGATCCTGGAGCCGGGGTGGGGAGGGGACACGGGGTGAGGGGTCCGGGGCTCACCCTGGCGCGGTTGTTACGGGAGGCGTTGCGCAGCAGCTCCTGGTCTGTGTCCTCGTCGGAGGCGACGCTGTCGTAGTCGTGCTGATCGTCCAGGTCGCTCTGGCTCCGCAGCGAGTAGTCAAGGGCGTCTGGCGGAGGGGGTGGGGTGGGGAAAGGCAGGGGGGTGCTGAGCACGAGGCAGGGGAGGATGCTCAGCCCCCCCATCGCTGCCCCCCCGTTCCTCACCTGTGGGGCTCAGCAGACTCTTGCCTTGCTGCCGGCGCTTGGCTTCCCCGAGGATGTCGATGAGCAAGGTGGCGAACTCCCTGGCATTGAACCTGGCCAGCTTCTGCCGGCCCTGGGAGGAAGGAGGGGGGAAAAGGGGGTGAGCAGGGGTCTGGGTGCAAGACCGGGGGGGGGGGTCATGGGGCTCGGAGGCGGGGGGGACTCACCTGGTTGCGCGTGGCCGAGTACTCGGGGTTGACAGGGAGGAAGGGGACGGCGCTGCGCTCCGTCACCAGCGTGCTGTGGTTCTGTGTCGTCAGCCAGACTGTGGGCAGGCACCCAGCGTCAGACCCCTGGGGGGCTGCGAGGGCCGGACCCCCACTTCATCACACACACACACACACCCACACCCACACACACCCACACCCCAAAGAGTGAGCGGGCTGCAGGGCCTGGGGCTGGCAGCGGAGCCGGCAGGACGCAGGCGCGGGCGCGGGGCCAGCCTGCCGGGGCTGGGAATGGAGCCCGGCCCAGCTGACGGGAATCGCCTCCCCCGGCCGCCCCACGGGGCTGGGGTCCCCCCCCAGTGCCCCCCCGAGCTCCTTCATCCTTTGGGGCACCAGCTCTGCACACCCCACACCCCCCCCCACCCTCCTCCAGCTTGCAGGGAGAGGGTTTAGCGTGCCTGCCGCTGCCCACCCCGCCATGGAAATGGGGCGGCCCCCGCCCCGCCACCCCCCAGCTCAAGGGCACCCCTCCAGGCTGAGCCCCCGTCCCCAGGGCGGTGGGGGGGCGGGGGTCCCGGCACCCACCTCCAGCAGCACCCCAGCCCCAGCACCCGGCAGCGGCCCCTCCGACGGAGCGAACCTCCCCGGCCGGAGGAATGAGGAAGGAGGGGCCTGCGGTCCCGGCGGAGGGATCCAGATCGGGGCGGGGGGGGGGGGGAAGCGCTGGGCTCAACCACGGCCCCGCTGGCTGCTCCTCCCTGCGCTGTGCTGCCCGCCCCGGCCCTTTTTTTGGGGGGGGGGGGGCAAGGGGAGGGCTGCCCCCCCTTGCCCCTCGCTCACCCGCATCGTTCTCCCGGCGGTCCACCTCGTCGTAGACGTCCATGGCCAGCTCCTCGAAGAGGCGGTTGCTGAGCTGCAGCGGGACGGGGGGACAGCGTCAGGCGGGATGGGGGGGGGGGGACACAGATGGGAACACACACACACACACACACACCGACCCCCCCAAGCCCTGCCCTGGCCCCCGCTCACCGCTTGCAGCTTCTTCTTGGCTGCCTTGGCCAGCTCAGAGAGGTCCAGGCTGAGGGGGGGGGTGTGGGGGGAAAGAGACAAAGCGGGGGTTATTCCTGGCCCGTCCCCGCTGAAAAAAGTCCCCAGCTGAACCCCACCAGGACAGGGAACACCCCCCCTCAAGGTGTGGGGGGGCTTCACCGAGCGGGGCTGGCGGGCAGGCACGGAGGGATGAGGTGGCAGGGGGCAAACGGGATCTCCCCTTCCCCGGGTGCTCGGCTGGGCCGAGCGGCTGGGGCTGCAGGGGGGGCCCATGCCAGTGGCACGGGGGGGGGCCCCCGGAGCCGAGAGCCGAGCGGACAATACCTCTGTGCCATGCACTTTGGGCGCACCCTGCGCTCCGGAGAAGGCAGCGGAGGGAAGAACAGGATAAAGGCGGACGTTAAACGCGCGGGCACGTGGACCCCCCACCCCCCCCCCACACACACACACACACCCTCCCTGGGGGGATGTTCCAGCGGCGGTCATGGGGAGGTGACCAGGGTCCCCCCCCCTCAGCCCAGTGGGGACACCGGGGGGGAGGACATGGGACAAGGCGGCGGAGCTGTGGGCACCGGGCACTCACCTGTCAGCCATCTGCGGGATGATGTAGTGTCCGTTCTTGTGGTCTGTGCAAAGTGAGGGGTGGTAAGCGGGACCCTGGGCCTCCCCCCGCCCAGGGTAAGCACCCCCCACCCCCCTCCCGTCCCAGGACCCCCCGTGCTCACCCGGCTTCCTGCCGCAGAGGTAAAAGGCCAGCCGGTCGGTCAGC